CTTTGGACGGGCGTGTGCCCTACCGATTAGGCGAGTGCTGTCAAACGGGCTGCGAGTGCTCAGTCGCTTTTTCTGAAGACTTCCCCCGGACTAGGGTACCTAGAATACCGTGCACGAACACTCAAACCTGTTGACAGGACGCCTGAAATACTCCAGCATTTGTTCCCTCCACCTTCTCACCATCTATACCATCATGTGAATGCTTGCTTGTGCCACAGCACGGACAACTTTCAGCACCAGAGGCGTGCGAGGGCCTGTTGGGCTAGTCGCCACAAGTGTTCCCCTCATTCTCCGTGTCCGCGCTAAAACGCATGCTTGATTGATTTGAAAAGTTTAGGTTTCGCCATCCGTCCTTCGCATTTTTACTGTTCCCTTGCGGTGGGCTACAGTAATTATATCTACTGCAAAATTTAAGCTCGCTGTTGGGAAGTTTGCCTAAAAAAAAAAAAAGGGGAATCGTGCTATCGCCAAGTACTTCAGCCTAAAGTTCTTCAACTATGACGATTGGCGCGATCAGTACGGAAGAAAGTATGCGCTTGCTTGCTGGTACAAGCTTCCTGTCATTAAAAAGACTTAAATTACGTGCGAACGCTAGGGTCCTCCAGTATTGCTGTGTCAAAGGACCTAGTTTCTTCCAGCATTGTTGAGAAGAGCTTAAAAAAATAGGATATTCAAACGCCCTGGATAGAAATGAGGGTGATGTACTTTGGGAGGGCGGTGGCAGCGGCCGCGACGATGATTCTCAATCGAACCTCTCGATCAGCGATTCTGACTAGACTGCACGTGACAGGTTCTGACTAGTTAAGGGGAGACGTGTTTTTCAAAACGAACTTTCTTGTTTCTGGTTCGATATTGATGAAAATTAGCACAGACCCTGAAATTTGCCTTACAGTGTTTTCATAAAAATTTCGAGGCGATACCACAAAAACTTACTGAGAGACAAATTATTTCTTCATTAAAGCTCGTGGAGGGGATGGAGGATTTGGATTTATAAAATTACAAAAATAGTTGGTAATTACTGTATGCACAGCCAAATGGATGCTGAAAGGGGCTGCATTTTCAAAATAATTTTTTTGCAACAATCAAACTTGTATGCGACCTTCCACGGGTCGGGGACCTCGCCGCTCTTCCATGCCTCGTCGCGGCCGCGTACCGTGGGAGCCGCGCCTTCTCCGCAGTCGTCGTCGACTCCAAACAACAAATCACCAACTGCGCATCGGTTCACACTGACGATCCGACGGTTGCCGAGCAAGTGGCCATCGCCCTGGCCATCCTGGAAGGTGAGAGGGAGGTCATCTATAGTGACTCTAGGTCAGCTATTCGCGCTTTCGAGCGCGGTGTAATCTCCAAGAAAGCCCTGCGCGTGCTCCAAAGTGGTGGCCGCGACGGCATCAAGCACCACGTACTGATTTGGTTTCCTGCACATGTTGGACAGGTCCAAGGCGCTCCCCCCAACCTCAACGAGTCTGCCCACGAGGCCGCGCGCGCACTTACCGACCGCGCGGGTTCCGGGCAACGATTCGGGGCCAACGGGGTTGCGGAAAACAGGGACGCGCCTTCCACGTACAACGAAATAACAAAATATTTTTACCTCGCGCGGAGACTATATCCACTCCCTCATTCAAATCTTAATAGGCCACAGGCCCTTACGCTCAGACTACTGCAGACCGACACGTACCCTAACCTGAGATCCCTTCACGCTATTTATCCTGACGTGTTCCCCAATGACGCTTGCCCCGAATGTGGGGATGTATCCACGCTGGCGCACATGCTCTGGGAGTGCAAGGCAATGTACGCTAACCCCAACACTACATCGGTCAGGTGGGAGGCGGCCCTTCGCAGCTCCCTCCTGGCCGACCAACTTTGGGCCGTCCAGCAGGCCCGCGGAGCGGCCGATAGGCTTGGCCTAACGGTCCCGACGTGGGAGTCGCCCGCTGCGCGCTGACGCGCGCCTTGCAGGACCTCAATAATGTTTCGCAACCAACCAATCAAACTTGTTGACATTTTCTCCAGCAACACTGCAATGATTCCACTTGCACTACAAACAAGAAACCACATGAAAAACTTTTTTAGGGAGTAAAATGAAAAACTAAGATTGCAGCCCCCTGAAGCATAATTCAAGGAGCATCACAAAATAAACAGAATGAAAATCTGTACAGTGGTTACAAAACCGTACATTAAGAAAACTGCGGTTAAAGTTTTAACTAGGCTTGTGCGAATAGCGATTTTTACGTTCGAAGTGAATTGGAAGCAAATAGCGATTTTGATCGAATAAGTTCGAATCGAATTCGAATGGTATGTATGACATATAAAAAAAAAACTGGAAAATTTATTACCGCCTAACTAACCTGCACACTAGTTCTTTCGAATTGAAATAGGGGCTTTATGAAAATGCCATTTTTTTTTGTTCAAAATAAGTCGAAACAACCTTGAGTAGTATTTCTGTAGGATGCGAGTGATAACCTGTAAAATACATAGTGTTTTAAAATTTATTATGGTTGGAGCATATAAGCCATCATAACCAGCTTAATAAAATGAAGAATTGATTTGAGGGTAACATGTTCCTTTAAAGGGGCCCTACAACACTTTTTCAAGTAGCCATGGAGCCAGTAAACATGCTTGTTGCCTCACAAATTTACCGCCACAAAGTTTCTAGAATCAGTCCAGTATAAGCAGAGTTCCAAAAATTTGTCGCACGCTGCAATTGCATTCTATCTTCTCGTACCGACGAAATAGCTGGAAGCTAAGCAGGGAGGAATGGCACGGCTAAAGAAAATACGTCGCACGCACCTCGTGACCTTCTTTTTTTCTTTCTTCAAATATGCAGCTTTTCATTGCGATGCGCATGTACTCGTGGACAAGCGGCGGCCTCCCGTGGCGGCCCCGGCAACGGCAAGCGCGCCTTGCTCAAATCAGCCAATGGCTGGCGGAGACAAGTGATTTTTGAGATTGTAGTGTCACTTGCCAAGGGAAGAAAAATTTTCAGGTTTGAAAATTTATTGCGAATTACAGGCTGCGTGCTGCGCTATAATATTTGCCTCGCGTATTCTGGCAGCCTCGACTACCGATCCGCAGCGTTTTCTGACCATGTTCTATAAGTGTCGCAGAGCCCCTTTAAATTTGAAGGGGGGCTTCGTGCCAAAGCGAGTTTCTCCTGAATACGTACTTTCTTGATTTAGCACCCCTACATTGCAGTGAAACCATCCTTACAAGTAGTTACATGCGCATTTATATGCAGCTATTCGTTTACTGCGAATACTTCTAATATATTTGATAATCTAAATTCGAATCGAAGCGAATTTGAATACTCAACTATTCGGTCGAATAGTCAAAGCATTAGAATATTCGCACAAGCCTAGTTTCAACTTCTTTTTTAAGTCTCTGCAACGCCTAAAAATTGTGATCTCAGGTTTGTCTTGTGATATTTGACTTCTCAGGCATGTGGCCTTTGTTGCCTACATATTTTTCTTAACCACCTTTTTTTTTTTTTTGATCTAGAAAGAACAACTATGAATTTCAAACCAAGTGCTGCGTATGGAGGAGTGGTGTGATAGGCATGACAGAATAGATAGTAAATGAATAAGGCCATATATTGAAATGATTACACATCTTTGTGTTCAAACTGTCATTAGTATGATTAGGAACTGATTACACATAATCATTGAACATTTTATATAGAGAAAGAGGTTTATTGAATCAGAAAAATGGCTCACACCATGATGGCCTACCTAGCCTTCTTTCCAAATAACGAACAGTTATGGGCAGAAAACTGGTGGCACAAGAATTTTTTAGCAGATTATTTTATGAGGAGAGTCGGGCATATCAAAATTTGTGACCCTGCTTCACACATGCTCTTTTGCTACTCTAGCCATGAACCGCATCATGAACCGCATCACCAGCCGTGAACCGCATCACTCTAGCCGTGAACCGCATCGCGGAAACGCTAATCTACGAGGTTTTCATTGTCTCGGAATATTCAAAGATGCTCGCGGCTATACAAAGCATGGCTATAAGCATGTCTAAATCGCATAAAAAAGCTTGTTGACAGCCCTGAATATGACCGTGAAGCACGCGGCCGCGTGTACAGTGCATCCGGCGCGTGATGCACTTGGCAGCAGCGTTCGGTGACAATGCGCGAAACATGTAGCTACGATGACAAAAAAATTGCATTTTAGAAAGCCGACGCGCGACACTACTAGCCGCTGTTCCAAACAATCCTTGGCAGTTTTGGTGGGGGGGGGGGGGGGAATTGAATGTGGCATCCGCTGCGGATGCGTAAAATGCCTGTCAGCAGTAACGAGGAGCTAGCGAGTGACGTGCTTCGTGGCTTGCGAAGAAGCACATTGCGACGAGTGCACTAGCGCGTCGTTCTTGCCCGCAAAGTTCGTCTCGCCATGAGCGGAGTTAGGCCTAAAGACGACTGATGATGATGAGGAAAGAGCCAGCTGAGGCGAGAAATTTGAACACGGAGAAATGCTCTTTCTTATGAGCTTGAGAAGCTGGCTCCCAGCCGCACCATCACGAAACTATCATTTTTTGAAAATCGCTGTTTTCTCGCCCTTCCAGAATAATTTCACTAGCTAGGAGGGTAAAATGAATTTTGTGAAGCTCTTCTGTGCAGTTGGCACTGTATATATTTTGGAATCAGATAGGAAAAGAGTTCCAGAAACTGAAAACTTGATTTCCAGAAATCATTTTTTTTTTGCAATTTTTCGCGATACGAAATCTGCGTCCCCAGTTAAACTACGTGCTAATTCTGTTATATAAACAAGTACGCTTTGTTTGTGCTTCAATGTATCTATTTATGTACATATTTGCACGCTATGACTATTGCACATTATTCCCTGCATAATTTGCACACCCCCTTCTTGGAGCCCCAGAATCGTGAAAAAAGGTGTGCAAATTATGCGAGTAAATGGCACTACAACTTGCAAGAGAAGCATACAACACCTGCAGATGTTTGAGCTGCCAAGAAATACAGGCAGTGAAGGTGTTCACACCTTGGTGTGGGGGTCCATGAACATCTTGGTAAACATGTCGGTGACCTTCTTGAGGTCAGGCAGAGAGAGGGTGCGCCCCGACCGCAGCACTGACAGCAGGCCCAGCAAGCCCTCTTTGCGGTCTGACCAGTGGATGCTGGACAGATGCTTCAAGATGGTTGGCACATCTTGCACTGGGATGTGGCCCTGTGGACAGAGCGACTGCATTTCTAGAAGGGACTCTCATGCAGATGGCATTAGAATGTTGTTAGACAAATTCCACAAGTGCCCACCTCATAACCACCTCTGTTGTAGGAACTGAACGAGCGGTCTGAGCAGACACTAGACGTTTCGCTCTCATCCGACTGATCGTCGAAGGCATTGTATCGGTTCTTCCTCGGAGGAGTGTTCTGCGAACAAACATGGCGACCACACCTTTAAAAAGTTCGATGCTATATATATATTTAAAATTTTATTACACACTCCATGGTCCTAAATGTGTGCCTGCACATGCACACTGCAATGGGTACAAATATTTGAAGGTGCACTAGGTTTGCAGAGGCCAAGAAAAATACGATCACAGAGACTTCTCAACAAGAAAGCGATATGTAGAGATGCAAAGAAAAAAGTGAGGCTTGCTCACCCAACATTCCAATGCGTCTGCCACAGCAGCCTCGGCCTCTTTACTCTGTTGCAGTATCTGCTGAGCCATCAGTGGAGCTGTGTGCCCAGAGGATAGAGCACAACATTCAGTGTGGGCATCCTGACCAAATTTATGCAATCGACACCAATTACTATGTAAAACATTCTAGTCGTGTACATTTCTAGGAGGCTTAAAATGTACTTCAATGGCCTTCAATTAAAAATAAACAGCACTAACGCTTATGCTTTATCATAAAGAACTGAAAATATATGCACTCTACATTTAGGCAACCGCTGTAATGGGGCTGCAGGTCTTGGCTTCTCACTCCCTAAGCTGTGGCGTCCATGTGTACTTAGACTTGTAGCCAAAGGAAGGTCACACGAGCGCCTTAAAACCAGAGCTGTGCGAATAGAAAAATCTTGGGTGCGAAGCGAATTCAATATTGAAGTGCGAGTGCGAATCGAATAACATACAGTATAGACTGCTTATAACGTAAGTCGCGAATATCCACACTATAAGCGGTACCGCACTATAACCAAAACAACATTTTTCAAGGGCCGCATTTGCGCAAAACGGGTTGAACATATAGCTTCGTGTGTCCGAAAATCTAAACGTGCAATGTGTGCTTGCTAACATTTAAATTTCTGAATGTTGAAAGCATTTCACATCCAAAGACACATATTGCTAATGAAATGAATGCGAAAGGGTGGTGAGGGGGTATCTAACAAATGAAAGCACCATCGCAAAAATTCACCGACTACTAGACCACCTCGATTATGCACATTACATAGAAACTATGTCGAATTACGTTCAGAATTTGACACGTTCAAAGACGCCAACTATTCGATTTCATGGGCGCACACCTGATTTAGGACATCAAAATCGAATCGCGAACCACTATTTCAACGCTACAGGTGCCGCGCTCGTTTTCATTAACGGTATGTATCCCTTCCCATCAAGTGCGGCCAAGGCAAAGAGTTTCGTTGATTCGATACCAAACCGCAACTTGGATACACGCGATGGCTAGCGATCAAAGCGCAACCAACCCCAATTCGGCCTAGCTTGCCGTTTGATATGTTGTCGCGTAAAGTCTGTCCAAAACATGAAGATTTGGCGTCAAAAACATCGCACTAGCAGTGAACTAAGAACCACGTGCGTGATACGAAATTCGCATTCGCGGCCGGGAGATCAGCAACGACGGTCGACAACTCGCCATGCTTACGTACGACAGCGCATTGGCAGCAAAAGTGAAAGCTCGCATCATAAAACCGTAAAAGGTTTTCAATTTACGGACGACGAAGCAAACCCGATATTTGTTGCAAGTGCGATAACGACAACGTTTTTCCCGGCAGGAAACTGTTAAGCACGTGTAGTTGATAAAGAAGGGATCGCACGTGCCACGTTGAGCGGCGAGCGGCCGAAGCTACGCTAGCGACGTAGTACGCCGTAGCTGCGTCAGCGCTGGTGCAAAGGCTTATCGTCACCGAGGCAGCCGCCCTCATCTCTTACTCGTCGAGCCCGTGCAGTGTCCCACGGTCTTTTTTTCGTTTTCTTTTTTTTTTTTCCCTCCGCCCTTTCGTCGGTTCCCCTCCTGCTCCGTAACGACCTGTCGTTCGCTCCCCAGTGGCGCACCCAGAGCACCTCCTTTTACAAGCGCTCTTGGTACCACATTTGTCACAAACAATTCCCGGCAACCGCATTATAACCGGTCTTTCATCTTGGGGGACTGCGTAATAAGCAGTATGTGTATACATAGGGTTCATGGGAGAGTAAATAAGACTAGAAAAAGACTGCATTGTAAGCAGTTATGTTGTAAGTGGTCTACACTGTATTTTTGTAATATTTCTCGAACATTTCTATAATGTTTTTCAATAATTAGAAGCGAAATTGCAGGAAAAAAAAAAAAGAGTTGGAGGGTATTCCTAAGCATATCGTTATGAGATGAAACAACATGAAAGTGTTTCTTTTCGCTAGACTGATGAAGCACTGACGGGTTGGTATTTCATAGTTGTGTTATAAAAGGCGAGGCCATGCAGTGGCCAAGTTGTAGTACAGTAGAGTCTTGGTAAACGGAAGTACTGCTTTAAACGGAACAACTTCCTCTAAACGATTGGTTTCGTAGTGGCATTTTTTCACCTCTCATAAATGGAACTCCTGGTAAGGAACCCACGAAGTTCCACTAAATGCTGTAGTACATGTTTGGTGCAACCATGTACACAGCTTCTCCACCTCTTTGACCTCTTGCAGCCCAAAATGATTGGGAGACAAGGTTGTGCTCCATTCAAGCTAGGAGTTCCAATCTGCCTCGTAGACGTCAATGTACAAGATTTGAAATTTTGCTTGCTCAGAATAAGAATATAGTAATTTTGGTCGTAGCTCCTCATACACATGTATAAAAAGGCTCGGTGTAACGGTTACTTGATGTAATGCGGTCACGAATATGGTGCAGGTAGATGAGGAAACATAGAGAAGTACACGACGGATGAGTTCATGGGCAAAACAATCTGAATATCACGAGTACCGCAAACTCGAAAGCGGCGGTGCGGGTACGGGCCACACGTCTGAGCAAAAAGTTTCATGACGTGCACTCAGGCACTTTACGTATTCATGT